AACTTGACATGGATATATTCTTAAATCAAGAAAAAGAATGTACCCATATAAGTTTAAAAATGGATTAGAAAAAATTGAATAGATTTTATATAAAAAAAGGTACATTTTACATACAACAAATTGGTATATTTAAGAATGGGTACATTTTTTTTTAACAAACGATATTATCTACACTATGGGGGAGGGGGTGGGCTTTACCTCACAATAGGCTAACAATAGTGGTTTAAAGCCTTTAGCGAGAATCGAACCTAAGACCTCTCACTTACAAGTGAAAAGGAATATAATTTCACCGTAGTACCAAGTGTCAGGATGGATACATTTTAAGATTAAAAGTTTGAAAAATTGCATGAATGGGTACATATAAGATTAAAAAATTGAAAACCTTTTTATAAAAAATTAAGGGGTACAAACTTATTCATTTTTTTTTTTGAAAATGTTTTGAATTGAAAATTAGTTAGGAGTTTAATAAAGATGTGAGTATTAAAGTCTTAAATCAATTATTAATTTTTATTTTAAATTATGTAATTGACATGTAAATTCATTATTGCATTAATGCTAGAGACTTTGATCAAAATCTAAAAACTAATAAGGTTTCAGTCAATGAATATTAGTAATTAGGGATCAGATATTAATTTTTCTATTTTATTATTATTTGGTTTCCTAGTTGGAACAAAAGACTTTTTATTAGGGATTATCGTATAACTTATGGCGAGCAATATAAGCCTTGGTCAACCCTAGTTTTTACTTCTTTCATGCGACTTTGAAGATTTTAAGATTTTTACTTTAAGGTGTTTTCAATCTTTTTCTTCATAATAATATTTTCTTTGATTTTAATTATGAATATGCGTAACTAATCTATTTTGCTAGGGCGAAGCCTTGAGTCTTAGCATGAATATATAATTTTTATTTGATTGCTTATGATTGATTGCATGTATACTTTGAATTATTAATCATTGTGCTTAAACTATCTAATTGTCTTAATGCTCGATCACTATTAGGATCTTTAGAAAAGTAATTTGATGCAATTTTGGTCGGAAGGTTCCCTGAAATTGACGCTAGCCTCTTGTGGTTGATAATTGTAATCTCGCTTAAGATGAACACTGCGTCTTAAAGGTTGCATGGTTTTTCAAAGGGTTTTCACAAAACATAATGAGTCTCTCATGTTCATATTTGATCTGAACGTCCAGACGGATTGCATGTTAGATATACTTTCTATGTTGGAGGTTCCAAGTAGAATATATATTAGGAAAACCTAACATTCAAAGTGGCATGTGTAAATCATAAGTAATTGGTAAAAATACATAGGATTGCTAGGTGTTGGTGGAACCCTAGTGCTTTTATAATTTGGTATTTAAAAGCTCTTTTCTTTTATTGTATTAACTTTGGCTGAATTTATTATTTGTTTTTAATATTACCCAATTTCCAAATCATATTTCTAAATTTTTAGTTTTAAGTAGTTAATTAGGAATTGCTTTTACATTTATTATTTAAATAGTCCTTGTGGAGAACAACCTTCCATAAGCATCTATACTACAACATCCTTGTATTCTTGCAGGTATTTTGTGTGATTTTAATCTTCTTTTCATAGGTAATAAAAATCTATCATCAATCTTCGCAGAAGTCCAATTAAGCAATGTCTTATTTATGGTGTTTAGTTAAAACTTTTCAAATCCACGACACGCACAAAAGTTTATGTTTTTGCATTCAGCTCAACGTCATGAGAAATTTTTCCAGGTTCCCGGCTCATTAGCTGACCTGGAGTTCCACCAATCTTGAATTGACACCTATACACATTTTAACACCAACCCACCATTTAAAGATTAAAAAAAACATATTGGGGTTTGGACCCACTCCTTCCTATCTCCCTTCTTCGAGAAACTGAAAGGCATTTTATGAATTCAACACCAACCAACCTTCTCTCTTCCTCTCCCTTTGCCATCTCCATGCACACCGGCAACCAAGCAATCTCCGATGAAAACATCCAAGATTTTTGCATTTACATTATTCAAAATTATAACTCAACAATTAATTTAAAAAATTATGCCATCTGTTTTAAAATCATATTTCAGCTGGGTAAGACTATAGAAGATAAAGACTGGAGTTTAGGGTGGGTGTTCATAGTGGTGGGCATGATGTGGTTGTTGGGTGGAGGGCATCAACATCGAGTGGGTGATCTTGGTGGTGGCAGTAGAGGACGTTCGGATGTAGGTGGTGGTGACGCTTTGGTCGGAGATTGCTTGGTTGCTAGTGTGTATAAAGACGGCGATGGAGAGGGAAGAGAGAAGGCCGATGTTGTGGTGTTGAAAAGGCTTTTCCTGAATAAGGGAGAGAGGAAGAAGAGACTAGTGGGGCCCAAACCCCAATATGTTTTATTTTTTAATTCTTAAACGGCGTGTTCTGTGAAAAATGTTTACAGGTGTCAAGTCATTATGGGTGGAACTCTAGGTTAGCTAATGAGCCTGGACCGTGGAAAAATTTCTCCAACATCATAGTTTGGAACATCAATAATATTGCTTTGTTTAGGAAATCCATTATTCTTCTGCAAATTTAATTAAATTTTAAGAGATAATTGCAGCAGTGGTCTATATATTTTAGTCTAATTGGAGTTTGTATCTCTAAAATAAAATTAAGTGAATATTGGTCATGAACTTATTACAATGTGTAGTAGTAGTTCTTAGGTTACTCTTTTAGAATTTTCATCCATGTTTTACCTTTTAAACTCTTATTTAGGATGAATGTATAATTATGCTACTCTAATGAACTATAACTCTTTTAGAATTTTCATCCATTGTTTTGCCTTTTAAACTTTTATTTTGGAATCTTGGATGAAATTTATTAATAATATTTTCATTTTATGAATCCTAGTACTTTTATAAATTGGTATTTAAAAACTCTTTTCTTTTATCGTATTAATTTTGACTGAGTTTATTATTTGTTTTTAATTAAAATTAGTTTTTAATATTACTCAATTTCCAAATCATATTTCTAAATTTTTAGTTTTAAGTAGTTAATTAGGAATTGTTTTTACATATATTATTTAAATAGTCCTTGTGGAGAACGATTTTGCATGAGCATCTATACTATAACATCCGTGTACTCTTGCAAATATTTGTGTGATTTTAACCTTCTTTTCGTAGGTACTAAAAATCCTATCATCAATCTTTGTAGAAGTTCGATTGAGCAATGTCTTGTTTACGGTGTTTACTTAAAACTTTTCAAATCCACGACACGCACAAAAGTTTCTCTTTTTGCATTCAACTCAACGTCATAGTTTGGAACGTCAATAATATTGTTTTGTTTAGGAAATCCATTATTCTTCTGCAAATTTAATATAATTTTAAGAGATAATTGGAGCAATGGTCTATATATTTTAGTCTAATTGGAGTTTGTATCCCTAAACTAAAATTCCGTGAATATTGGTTCATAAACTTATTACAATGTGTAGTAGTGGTTCTTAGGTTACTCTTTAAGAATTTTCATCCATGTTTTACCTTTTAAACTCTTATTTAGGATGAATTTATAATTATGCTACTCAAATGAACTATAACTCTTTTAGAATTTTCATGAATTGTTTTGCCTTTTAAACTTTTTTATTTTGGAATCTTGGATGAAATTTATAATAGTATTTTCATTTTGTGAATCCTAGAAAGCCACATGAGCACCTGTCTCATATCGCATTTTCTAACAAGAAGATTTGAATTTTTAGTTTAATGATCAAAGCTTCAATTGCCAAAATTCAAGAACCAAATGCTCTAATTCTTTTTAATTCTAAATGATGAGCAATTAATTCTTTTTAATTCTAAAATTGATGAGCAATTAGTATATATTGACATGAATTTTCATTTGAACGATGCCGTATAAATGGTGATCTAATTGGAGAATCATGCTAGTTGTAGATGCTTTTGAGGAAACGAATATCCGACATCAACTGCATGCCAAGTGTGTCCTTATCATTTACTTGCAATCCTTTAATTTGCAAGAAGCTTCTCAACGAGGAGAAAAGGACCACCACCACATCTCCAATCCTTTGCTTATGAGGTGAGAGTTATGAGCCACCACGCAATTAAAATACCATCTTTGTTCTTTATTTTTTACGAGAAGCGATAGTGATTTTTCATTGAGAAGTGATACGATTAAAAAGATGTAATTGTTTAAAATTAGGTTGCTGCCTGCTTCATCGAAAAGCAAATTCTTGTTTAAATTAAACAGTCAAATTTGAATGATGCTGGAGGACTAATATTCGTCAACAGCTGAGGCAAGTGTGCTATTATCATTACTTTGAGTCCTATAATTTACAAGAAGCTTTCTCAAGGAGAAATGAAGGATTGCACCACCACATCTCAAACCTTACTAATCAACTCCACACATTATTTGTGCGGTGGAATCATAAGAAGTTTTCAATTTGATCACCATTAATAAGAAGATAATGATGCTCTCTTGTTAATGAGGTGTTTCCAAGCTGCCAATACCTCGGGTTTTTAATTACTTGAGCTAAAGTTAATTGAACTTTCGCATTTAAATACACCATTTAAATTAATAGCTTTTTATTTCTATAGAAATACAAATTAAATCTTAATAATATAACATGTTTGAGTGCATGAAGATTAAAATGATAAAAGAAACCTCAAGGGGTTGGTCTAATGGAACGCAAGCAAGGGTTTGGAACCCCCAACCCAAATCCAAACTCCCACGAGATGCATTCCTTAGGTCACAAACTCTACGTCAATGTACTGTTTGCCTTCAGGGTCACAAGTACGCTACCATTTCATGTGGTACTGAGACTGTATAAGAAATAAAATTAGTCTATCATCAATGTGTGGTGAGATACATTCTATATATGTATTAAAAAAAATAAAAAGGACATCATGAGATTAATATTTGAGTTGTTTATATTGGGGAGGGTGACATTTTAAGTCCAAAAGAACATTATTTGTGACAAATTCATTCACAACAAGGAGGTTGAGGAGTTGATAACCCCACGCTACCCTATGCCTACCACAACATCTCTCCTCAGCTGCTCACCACCACAAGAACCACCTACTTGTTCCCAACCACTCCTCCAAACTTGACAAATATACATATATTGCCTCCAGTTAGCCCCTTATACCGTTTCTCATTAGCACCCTCCAATGGCTATCTTAACCCAAACCAAGTTCTTCCCAAGTTCCATAAACCAACTCCACACATCCCACTCTCTAATCCGCCGCACTAGAGTGCATTGCTCCGCCGCCACCACCAAGGCAAACCCCGCCGCTGAAAAGCTAGTCCTCAAACCACCACTGCAACTGCTAGAGCCCTCACACTCGCCCTCACCCGCCCTACTCACAGACACCACCATCCGTCCTCCTCAACCCAATGACCCAAGTTTGCTATCGACATGGTCTCACCGTGCATGGGTGGCTAGTGGGTGCACAACAGTCCTAGTTTCTCTAGCCAAGTCCGTAACTTGTGCAGCTGATTCACACATATGGCTCGAGCCCATTTTGGCAGGCTTGGTTGGGTATGTGCTGGCAGACCTCGGATCCGGAGTGTACCATTGGGGCATTGACAATTATGGTGGGGCCTCGACTCCAATTTTTGGTCCCCAGATCGAAGCGTTCCAAGGCCATCACAAGTGGCCTTGGACGATCACTAGGCGCCAATTTTCCAACAACTTACATGCCCTAGCTCGTGTGGTGACTTTCTTTGTGCTTCCTATAGACCTTGTGTGTGATGATCCAGTAGTTAATGGATTTGTTGCAGTGTGCTCTGGCTCCATTATGTTTAGCCAACAGTTTCATGCTTGGGCACACGGCACCAAGAGCCGCCTGCCGCCAGTTGTGGTGGCCTTGCAAGATTTAGGCGTCTTGGTTTCGCGGCCGCAACACGCGGCACACCACCGGCAGCCTTACAACAACAATTACTGCATTGTGAGTGGGGTTTGGAATGAGCTTTTGGACCAGCAGAAGGTTTTCGAGGCATTGGAGATGGTCTTATTTTTTAAGTTAGGGTTAAGACCCAGGTCTTGGAGTGAACCTAGCTCTGAATGGATTGAAGAAACTGAGACTGCTTCACAACTTCAAGGCCAATGAACCTTTCCTTTACATTCTTTTGGGGATTTTAATTAAATGGGTGATTTCCGCACTCACATTTTTACGTCCAACTCGCCTCTGTTTTCTCTAGCCATTGCATTGAATAAATCAAGGAAGAAACAACGGACAGAACTAAACAAAGGTGTGTTGGAGGTGAATAGGGAAGTGCGGAAATCCTTCCCTTAATCGATTACCCACCATTCATCGGTTCGCAGTATTATTTACTCACTGCAGTATTTCTTTCAAAAGATTACGTGATGTCTGTGTATATGATCACCAGCTATTGTATCGGCTTCATCTAGTTCAATAGTCATGTACCAAGAAAACACTTTCAAACGCAAACGTCTTCTTTATACGATGAAATACATTGTCCAGCAGCACTGTTGAAACAACTAGTTTACAAACGGAAAAATAAAGAAATAAGCAATCTTTGGGTATGCACATTTAACCCTTCGAACTTCCGTAACCGTCGGCTCCTACTGGAGTGGAGATGGAGGATACACAGGGAAACCAGTATCGGCGGACACCATCTTTGTGACCATCATCAATCATTGCAAGACCCTCCTGAGAAAATCAATGGTTTTATTAAGCCAAGGGAATCCTACCATACATTTAAAATAGACTAAGGGGAAAGAGAGGATCCTAAATGAGTCGATTAGTAAATGTCATCAACTTACATCTAATAAAGTGTCAAAGGCATCGATTGCACGGCCAGTGGTCCAAGATAGCCGTCTCTCCACCTCAACAACAGTCACAAAGCCTTTAGCCTAAGAGAACAGAAGCAGAACATAACCGCAAATATCAATCTAGACGATAAAAAGAAAATTAAGATTATTGAAACTGTTATTCCAGGTGTAGTTCGGAGGACGATAAAACAAAAATTGGAACCTGGGCTAGCTCTAGAATTTCATTATGATCTTTGTTCAACTCAGTTGGAACGGAACGAACGAGCTTTCTCTTTCCAATAGAAATGACCTCATAACCATTACCCAATACCTGGAATCAAGTAACAGATGTGAGTGCAATGCAATGCATCACTAAGCTATAATCATGCTAGTAAGGTGCTGCCTACTGCAGGGATATGATACGATGAACTGCTTAAGAGAAAGTACATGAAGTTCTTAAGAGTTGATAGCGTGATAACAGATCATGAAATACAGAGTTTGAATATCTCAAGGTCAAAAATACTATTTCCTATTAGAAAGAAGGAATTGTAAACTTTGACATGTACTGAATGAATTGTGATACAGAGGAAAGGGTATCACATAGCTATCAGTAACGTACTGCTAAATGTACCTAATCTCACAACAAACCAATTCTGACTAAACAACACCACCGATTACTTACAGCTGCAGTAACAAACTTAAAGCTAACTCTTCCTTAAAATGAGATTATACTCGAACAATTGCTACTGTGAACAACCCTGGCAACAAAACTTAATCCCCTACGTTATGCAAGGACAAGCTAAGCCACATTACCTTGAGCTTGCTTATAGCACGGAGGCAATCATCCTCGGAAACAGCTTCGCGATCACTCTTCCGCCTCTGACGAAGCAGACCGCAAAGTTCTTGCAGGTTGATCAAACCACCATTGTGGGGTCTTGTTGCCAAGCAAATGTCAACAATTTGCACCCCTGTCTAACCAAATCCGCTCCCGTTTAGAACACACATATATATCCGAAACAACCATAACAATTCACACCCAATCAAAGATATACAAAGAGATTAAGAAGATGGGTACCAACCAAGTTCATAGTAGAAATCACCAATCCCCAAAAGCTCGGCCCAGAAACCCTTATTGGATGCCAATGGATCTACTCCTACCTTGGTGCACATGTTATGAAATTGTGATCTGAAAGCTGGGTTCTTTCGAATGTCATTCTGCACCATCCATATCAAACAGTCAATATAAATTATTTATCATGAAGCGATATTACTACTCTAAGCTACACTAAGGAGAGGGGAGAGGGTTTGAACCCGAGACGCAATGGATCAAAAAATAGGCCTATCTGCCAGGGCAATCCAGCACTTGCCAAACAGCCAATGTAAATCGAATACAACATAAAAATTTTGACATAATTTGGTAATGAAAGTGATTGATTGAGGAGAAAAATGGGACCTTGTGCTTTCGAGCGAAATCTTCCAATTGGGTTCGGAAAGTGGTGAGCTGCTCCTTCATGAGATCGGTTCTGATCTTGGCAACATTCTCGCCCAGCTGACGATATTGGTCCTGCAAGAAAAGCAAGGATTGGATAATTGAACTCGGTAACAAGTGGCGGCAATCAAAGGCGAAGAAGAAGAAAAATCACAAACCCTAGCGGCGGCGGCGGTCTGCAAGCCGCCGATTCCAGGTCTCCTCCTCATGGTTCTTCTTCTTCCGCGACCCGCTTCGGTGGAGTTGAGAAGAGGAAAGTAGTACGGAAAGCCAACTGTAGACTAATAACTTAGTAAAATTAAATTTGTTTAAATATATGTTTGGGAGTAAAATTCTCACTGATCAGAGTGGCGCAGCGGAAGCGTGGTGGGCCCATAACCCACAGGTCCCAGGATCGAAACCTGGCTCTGATATATTCCATTCTATTTTTTATGATTTTTTTCCATCGATTGAGCATAATTAACGGGAGGTGCCCTCCCATTTCCATACTCTTCCCATCCCCTCATGTTTTGTGTAGTCATGGTTAAACCACGTCAACATTTTATATTTCTATTATTTTTTGTTTTATTATTTTTATAAAAAAATCAATATAAAATGTTAACATGACTTAACCGTGACCACACAAACAGGAAATAATGTGAAGAGTATGGAAATTGGAGGGCAAACAATCCACCTTCTAATTAATGGGCTATTGCGGATTTGCAGAAACTCTAAAATCTAGAGAGTAAGAAAGAAGTTGTTAAGAGCCTTTTATATGACAGTTTAGAAATGGTTTGGCCTTTATTTAAAAAAAACTAACAATTTCAACTTAAGTTACAAATGTCGATACACTTGAAGAAAGGAAAGTGATTTACACAAATTTTTTACCCGACACGTACACTCTAGTACATGAAATGAGAGTTAAAAAGCCATAGATAAACAGTTTAAAGAGTAAATAGGTGTACAAAAATTAGTTCGCAAACTAAATCATCTGTATGAGTAAAATTATGTATTATTCTTATTGTGAAATATAGTGTGAATGCCACATATGAATGCGTGAAGCAAACTAACATATGAATGCGTAAAGAAGCAAACCAACATGTCATAGTAGACTTTGGTGACACCAATTAAAAGCGTAAGTCCATGAAAACGGGGAATTCAATCCACGACTGAAAACTAAATAAATTTCAGCACTGCATGTTGTAAATATACATTTGAAGGCACATTGCTATAAGCTTACTTCTTGCTTGATCCTCGGTAAGAAATTGCATTCGGTTGGTCAAGTATGACGAGACTCTATATAAGAATCATGAAATAGTACTCACATCCATCCTTTCTAAAATCTTTAGCTTCCTCGATCTGAGGGTCGACCAGTATTACCCGGCCGTCGACCATCTTGAGCACTAGTTCACCACACTTTCTAGAAATAAATGGCTTCTGTATCATGTTCTGCAGGCAAACAGTGAACGATTTTGTCCACGATTCCACCACGCCATGCTCTGTCATCACCCACATGTGATAATCATATCCATTTTGCCTTACAGATTCGACTACAAAGAACGCAAGGTTCTCCCCATAGCTCAAGAAATGGTAGAGAACTTCTTTTGTCAAACAAACTTGGGGAATCATTATTGTGGAGCCAAAAATAATCAAGAGGTGACACGTGAATTTTGGGCAAAAATGACAAAATTACTTTTGAGGAGCACCAAAATTCCTACGCGCGAGCAGTGGACAAACATCATACAATCAAGTCAAAAGTGCCCAAATAGGTATTTATTTTTAAACCTATTTCATCCATCCTCATCAAATCCTCTCCACAAGGTAACCCCCAAAACATTTCTTTTAAATTATGTTAATAGGCTAATTAATGAATTTATTACCTAATTAATCTATTAATGGTCAATTAAACCACCAATTACACCCCAAAAATACACAAAAGGTCGGTCACCTTCTCTCCCAAAGGGACCAGCCATGCACTATATATTCAACCTCATTTTCTCTAAAACCCTAGGTCTTGACTCTTGCTAAACACTCAAAAATTCCCCAAACACTTTTATCTCAAAATTCTAACTTTAGCATCGGAGGTTCTTCGGCCAAAATCCCCCATTCATCTTGGGCTCGTGAGACTCTTGGCCTTGACCAAAGGTGTTATTTGTTTTGTAGGTGCAATTTTGTCCCAGATCAAGGAGGAAGAAATTTGCATCCACAAATTGGTGCTTTCATTGAGAGTTGAGTCCCACATTTGTAGAAGACTTTCGCATCCAAGGTTTTTCTATTTTCTTGTCTATTTGTAGATTTTTCGTACGTTTTTATTATTAGAATTTTTTATTTGCAAAAATTCTTGGATAAAAGGTAAAAGAGAAGTACAATGGCTAGAAATTTAGAAGATTAAACAAGTGAAAATTCCAATATTCAAGAGATGGGACCGTGGCGATCCATGAGGCTAAATGTGACAATAAGCGGAGTGGCACCACCACTACAAAGCTCCACCATGGCAACCACCGCGGTGGCCACCACGGCAACCACCCGCGGCGAGGTCCATGGCACCATTACCACGGCCCAAGTCGTGCCATCAAAACTTGCACGGGCCCAAGCCCAAGCCGTGCCATCCAAGTTCCACGGCACCAAAGCCACAGCCCAAGCCATGTCACTCTAAGCCCACCGCGAACCCAACGCGTTGTCAAGCCGAGCCCTAGCCTTGCACCCACGTGCGTCACACACTGAGCAGCCCACTCCCGCGGCCCAGCCTGCTCCAGTGGCCCAATCTGCTCTCGTGGCCTTCCAAGTAGCTCGAATTGATCCAAGATTAGTTCAACCGTCCCGGTTCTAAATTTCTGGACCAACGATCGAACTGGGAGCATTTTCACCATTTTTCTACAGATTTGACATTTCCTAACTTAAATTTTGCGCCTGGAGTCTACCACACTTCCATTACTCAAAGGGACACATTTCTTCCAAGCTATTCCAACCCAAATGGAGAACAACACTTGTCTCGACAAGTCATAGAGTTGACGAGCGCCCTCGCACAGCAGATGACCTTGGTGAACCAGCTCTTGCAGCGCACCGAGGTGCAATATGCCCCAGACGAGGTGTCCCGAAGTAGGATAAAGGCAGACAAAGAAACTTTCTAACAGCGTCCCGATAAACAGCCATTCGACCAGCCACGAACAGAGCGTTTGGGCAGTGTACACTCTCGATTAAGCCCCCGAGATAACATATA